GATTTTAAATGTAGGATGTCCTTTTCCTTTATTTACCTTTAGTAATCATTTCGGTAGTATATATTAATCAATTCGATACGAATTAAAGGTAGATGAATGAAGGTTAACATCTAGAATCGGTATATAAGTACTTTACCCTTCATATCAGAATTAGCATTTTCTTCCAAAAGTTGTAAGGGCTAGTTAAAAATTGTTTTTGTCCTGACTAGTTTTTTGTTATCAGATACCCAAATCTGATTTGTATACTTAGATTTTTATTCGTCCAGAAGTAAAACATAAAATTTCATTACTTTTTTTAGGCTTAGTATTAAGCCGTAATTTTAAAGGGGACTTTAACCCTTTGAATAGACGACTTTTAACAAAGACTGCTCAAGTCAGATATTGAAAAATCTTACTGTAATCCTCAGTTTGAAATGTTGAATTCCTCACCAGCTTTGAGCATCTTCAGCACCTTTTCACCCTTCTCTCGGTAACGGAAAATGTCAGTCAGTCAGTTAGGCAGTTAGGCGGCAAGGCAGTTTCCCTCGACTCTTGCCGGTTCATTCAACTAAATAATTTGAGTGGCATTCATGCAGGTCCACTGGCTCACGGCTCATGTTTCAGGATTGCCCGACTGATCCTGACTGCTGCTGCTGCTGCTGCTGTTGGTACATTCGTTTTGTAATTGTGTGGCAGGTGACGGGCAATCTTCCATTGTTCGAATACTTCGAAGGCCGAACCCGGGAGTACGGAGTTCAGTTTCTACTTGAACTCACCCCATGTCGAATTGTAAGGGCGAAAAATGCCCCCTACGATAAAAACAAGCTGCAGTGCACACACACAAAGCCATTCGTTTTATGTGCACTGCAATATACAATATTTATTTGAATTTAAGTCCATTGTTTGGGATCTGAAATCCGCACACAACCCATACTGATTCTTCAGGGTTGTTTGCTTTGCTACTATTTTTGACTTTGCCCAGGAGTTCATATCCCATTCTTTCCATTTACCATCAATTTTCTGGCTCGTTTTGATCGTCAACTTTATTTGCAAAAATAAATCTTTATGGCATTACATCGAAATTCAATCTTATCACTTTAAAGTTCTGGCCCTGACTAGCTCGCTTTCCTTGCATTGCAATAACTGATATAGAATCTGGCATAACCTACATGAATACTTAATCGATTGTACAGTTAATTATGGCTAATACCTGGTACATTTCAGTGATCCTTACGACTAGGCTTACGGGTCTAGAATGGCAAGGTACGTATCCGCTTACACTAAATGGACAACCGATTTGTACTATATAGTCAAGAAGAATATGAAGGGAATATGTTGAGAAGAAGAGTCCTTTTTTGGTAATGTTCCGGTTAAGCACTCTTAATTCAAATATTTACTAGAGATCATCAAAAAAGAAACCAATAGCCAATGAATATGAAATGGTATGTTAGTGAATTTTATGTATGGATGGTTGGTTTTGTGATGGATTATTGGTTGATCTTTTGAAGATCCTTCTTTAACATGAAACTAATTGAGTGCACAGATAAGCTTGGGATTGAGTAGTGGAATTAAAGCTCTTCCAGGCTCAAAAGAAAGCTTTATCTAAGCAGTCAACTTAGTGCCTCACTTACTACCAATATCAACGGATTGCAAGGGATTCGAGAAAAGTTAAAAAGGAAAATCCTGTGATGAGACCCGTGAGTTTTTTTAGTCTTTTGATTAAAATAAGTCAGGGGTGTATCTTTGGTTGATTCCCCTAGATCAGTTTCCTGCAAGTCCCTGCAATCTTTATATATATCACGCTGAAAAACCTTAGATCGCCTTTCTGGCCCTCAAAACTGTGCTACACCTGTGGGGCAAACTGTTTGTAGCTGTGTGGATGTGGAATGGCATGCGGATGTGCCTGATCCTCCGGATATTCCTTCCATGGTGGCGTTTGCGTGTAGAAGCTGCTCTGATGATGAATCCCAGAATCCATGTTGGTGGGCTGGAGATTGGCAGCTGCATCGAAGGAGCACCTGAACAGATCGTATTTTTCCTGCGAGAACTGCTGCGGGCTGGACTCCTGCTGGGGATTAGGCTGCAGATGGTGAGGAGGAGGATGAGGCTGAGGCTGCTGCTGCTGCTGCTGTTGGTGGTAGAACCGCATGCTGCCTGTGAAGTCGAATCCCGGTGGATGTTGCTGCGGGTAGTCCATGCCCTGCTGGAAGCCCCCCATCGCAGGAGGATGCTCTGCTGACGGAGCCGGCGCAGGCTGATTCTGGGCAAGAGGAGCCATACCCTGGCCATAGGGAAACATCCTACCGCATCCGAACATGGGAAAAGGCTGGGGGTTCACGAACAGAGCATCGAAGAGCTCCTTGGTGATCCTCTCACCACTCAGCGTGAAGTTCTGCAGCTTCTCCAGGTCCAGATTTATGGATCCCCCACTTTCCAGCACCTGTTCCAAAGCAAAGATGTAGTTGTGCGCGAACCTCAGGATCTCGATCTTCGTCAGCTTCGTCTCCTCCGGAAGCGAGGGCAGTGTGACCCGTAGTTTCTCCAGTGCATCGTTAAGGTTGTGCATCCTATTTCGCTCCCGATCATTGGCCTTCATCCGGCGGAACCGCTTGATCCTGACCACCTGAGTGGGACTGCGCGAGCGTGTCACCCTGTTCTTGCCGACGGCATATTTGCGCTTCTGTCGCGGCGCATCCGGATCCTCTGGAGACTTCATGGGCGTACTGGTCAAAGGTGGATCGAAACCAGCGGTCGAGGCTCTACTGTTCAGGTGCTCCACTAGAGTCCTGCCGCTCCTTGTGCTATGGTTGCTGCTCGTGTCCAGCAGACCCACGAATCCCGCCGGCGGTGAGTTGAGCGGTACGGTGTCCCAGGCGGCGACGGAGTACGGTTGCTGAACCGCCGGAGCCGGCGAAGTGCCGCTGTAGCGGTCATCGAAGTCCAACCGCCGACGGGAGCTCAGCTGGGCCTCCGTCTCGAAACTCTTCTCGTAGCCACTGTCGAAGGAGGCGTCGTCGTCATCCTCGTCGAACTCAAAGGACTGCGATCCAGCGCTATAGGCATTATAACAGGCAGCCATGATCTCGTGTATTTGTATCTCGGTGTGTATATCCTTTAGCACATTTCCGATTTCCGTTTCGAGAGAGAGAGAGTGGTTTCTTCGTGTTTCGCGTGCCCGCACCAACTAAAAGCTGGCGAGGAGTGCGCACCGGTTTTATGTGCCCGGCCAGCCATTAAGCCCGCTGATTTGGGTCCGGACTGCCAGGCAACAACCCTCGGCGCATTGTCGTCGGTCGTGGCGGCCATAGGAAAGTACAGAGCGTAGAACCCCGAACGCAAATCCCAACAGATATGCGCCGTGATTGTCGCCCGGGGGTGGCTTTTGCCCACTCACACACAGACCTCATCTAGCCGGCACTCCCGGGAGCGGGGTGTACTTCCTGGAGATGGAGATTCGTTCTGCGAGCAGCACTACCAGTCAAAATACGAGCATTTTTCACGCTCCGCTAGCGAGCGGTGCTCTCTAAGCCAATCGGAAGGATGTCTGAGTCCGAGGATCAGCGATGTCGCCGACGGCATCATCAAAGCTCATAACTATTTTTGGTACCCTTCCTTAGGGTTATTTAAATATAATATTTTATACAAAGTTTTATTATAGTTATAACTTTAATAAATATAGTTATAACTTTTAAAGTACCAAAATTGTATGATTCAAATTTGTAATTGCTTAAAATCCTGCATCACATATTATAATTGACAATCATCTAGAAAATCCTTAATAGTATATAATGTTTAGAACCTAAAAAAAATTATTTAATATTCGGTAAAAACTTTGTATAAAATTTAGCAAACGTATACAAAACTTAGAAAATGTTTCAAATATGTGGTTTTGATTTTTAAATCTATGAATAAAATGAGTTAAATATGTGGTCCTGACTTTAAAAATGACAAAGCGGGTAGATTAACCAAAATTTAATAACCAATATATAAAAATATATTGAAAAGAAAAATAATCTATACCTTGTCATTTCTAGTTAGTGAATACCCCTATAATATACCTATGAGAGATGTGGATAAATTTATCACTGACAGACCATTGAACACAAAAGCAATCTGTTTAGGACAATCCCTTGATCTCTTTAGTAAAAAGTCTTTACCCATCTCTATATAGAGTATATCGATTTCGTGGCCTATATAAATTGATATTTTAATTTATCGCCTAATGCGATTGCAATTCAAACGATTCAATTACTCGCAACTCTTTCGGCTCTCGCCTCTAAACCGCAATAATCGTTTAGGGCTTACGCCTGTCGCTAAACGGGTTAGTGGCACGTGGCCAGGATACCGCCTCCACTTCCGAAAACGCAACATGTGTAGTCGTTCACTCCTCTCCAGTCCCCCAGTCCATCCAGAACTTAGGCGTTGGCACGTGCCGTGGTCTTAACGGCTGCTCAAGTGGCCAAGTGTGCTGGTGTGGATTTCCTATCTGAAGCAAAGCGGTTAAAGGAGGATCGAAGTTGCAGTTTCAAGTGGCCACGTGCGGATTTGTTATGATATGCGGCAATCGTCGCAAATTACCAGCACGAGGCAGGACTACTTGAGTGTGAAGGGGGCTAATTTGATAATACGCCATATTTCATATTAATGAACTACCGATTGCTTTGTAATAGGTATTAATTAAGTGCTTTTGTGTTAAGCATATAATGGCTCTTAATCGGAAGAAATATTGGATATAAACCATTTAAATTTAGATTTTAGAGATTATTAATAATGTTATAATGACCAAGCTGATTATCAAATATACAATTTCAACTTTGTTACTAATAATACATTCCTTCGTAAAACAAAACAAGCAATACAAGTTTGTTTTTAAAATTATTTATTAATAAAAGTTTAGAACCAAAAACTACAAACAAAACGGAAGTAATTTTCCATCATTAAATTATTTTACAATAGTAAAATAAAAATCCTGAAGTACACACTTAGGTAGCACATACAAAAGAATAATTTATAATTGAACATTTAAATTGTAAACAGTTTTAATACCAACAAGTATCTCATTTGAGCAATAGCTATAAACTACAAACAATTCTGATTATGTTTCAGGCCCATAGTTTCCCAGCTCGGTTTTTTCACTACCAACCCCTTAGTTATTGATATATGAATATTGCCACTAAAATTCACACCAACAGCCACGTGTCGCCGGCGTCGTCATCCTTGTTCAAGAGCTCCTCCGACGCGTGTAGCTAATTTGGTTTTTTAGAACCACAATGCATATCAATTAGGCAGTTAATTGAAGAACGGATGCGTTTGCTTTTTCAATTGAGTGTTGGCCTAGACTTGTCGAGCGTTTTTTTTTTGGTTGGCCGCGGGCGTCGTCACAGTCCAAATAAAAACCGAGCCGGAAACTTGGACAAACAGATGTACACGTAAATAATTTCATCAGAATCCTGGCTATGTTCTTGCAAAAGCAAACACCAAATGTGCCCCAGGCTAATTGCATTTTAACAAGCGAGACAAATTCGATTTTCCCAGCTATACTCCGTCTTCCTTCCTCCCTCGGCATTTCCATCATTCCGCACAGCTCAACCTCCGTGCAACCCCTCTCCAGCATTCGTTTCGAGCACGTAGAACCTCGCCTACGGCTCAGAAGCCGGTTCGACTTGTCCACGGCGTGTTAGAAAGGAACGATTGCCTCCTCGTAGAGCGGATCCATCTCCATCACATCCGTGAAGTGAATCATCGGGTTTATGGCTCCAGGCACTGGCGAGTTGGAGGAGAGCGAATCCGAGGACAGCTCGATCACATCCGGCGGTATGGATGGTGTATGCCGTGAATGTGCTTGGGTTCGGCTCCTTGGACCGCCTCGTCCCTGACCTCGTCCGCGTCCTCGTCTTCTAAGAGAGGAAGCCACATGAGGCACCTCCTCCAGATCTGTAGAGGAATCGGATGTAATGTGCTTGAAGATCGGCTTGGGCTCCATACGAGGCGATGGCGTGGACGATAACGAAGGAGCTGGCGAGTCCGATGTGATGTGCACAAACTTCCTGAAGCGGCGCCTACCATATCTACGGGCATCGTAGCTCTGCGAGGATGCATTGCTGTCCTCGGTGAGGGAGTGACTCTGGCTTCTTAGGCTCCTTGCGACTCTTAGCTGCTTGTGCATTGCCTGCTCGCGATAGTAATCTGATATGTTGGTGCGCTTGATACGCACCCGCACTCCCCGAAGCTTCTCAATGTCCTGCGCCGTCAATCTATTCAAAAAAACTTGGACCGGACGGGTAAGGCACTCGTGGATGAGGCGTTCCCTCTCCTTTTCTGCGGCTTCCCGGGATGGGGAATCTGGGTTAGATTCCTCGCTTATGGCATCCATCTTCAAGCGCTTTCTTTCTGGTTCATGGTCAGCGTAGTCAAACCGCAAGGACTCCTCCGCAGTGTCGGTTTCTGTGTCTGTTTCTATGCTCGTTGCCAATACTTCAGGTAGCTCCGTATTTTTTATTGGCTCCACGTCGATAAGCTCCTCTTTTTGCTCTCTAGTGTTTGAAACATCTCCATCCAGCAGCCCAGCTTCTAATGGCTCATTGTTTTGTTCAGTTTCTGTTGGCTGCTGTTTATTTTCATTTGTTTCATTTTCCACGACCTCTTCTAGCTGCCTAGTTTGTAGGACCTCACCTTCTAGCTGCCTAGTTTCCAGGACCTCTTCCAATAGCTGCTCAGTTTCCATGGGCTTATCTTTTAGCTGCCTAGGGCGTAGGGGTTCCTTGGTCCTCTGTCCAACTTCCTTGGGCTCCTGCGTCAAGTTGTCGCTCTCCAGGTTCTCTGGTTTCACCTTAGTTGCTTCCAGGGGCTTCCCGATCACATGCGTCTGTACTTCTTTAGCAAGCTGCAACACTTGTGTCCCCGTGGTAAAATAAAACTTCGGTGGCGGCGATGGCGTTATCTCTTTACTTACACCGGGGGAATCGTCGCTGGTCTCATCGTTGAAATCGTGCGTAGCCATCGTAGAGGTTTCAGAGTTCACACTCTCGGTTTCCGATCCAGTGCGAGCCATCCTTCCTGTTGGCTGCGGAGTTGGCTGCTCGGGCGCCTTTGCCGCTGCCGTCATCTTGAGGGTCTTCAAGTTCTTGAATTTGCTAAGCACCGAACTGCACTCCATCAGGTTGTTGACCTCGCTGGCCACGTTTTGCAGCTCTTCCTTCTCAAAGCTCCAGATGTCGGCGAAGGCCTTGAAGCCGCCGGTTTCGTTGCTGTACTTTGTCCTGGCCTCCATTAGATCGTTGATGGTGCGCTTCTCGTCACTGGCGGCTGCTTCCTTTGGGGATGGTGACCTTGCAGGTCCGACGTTGACCGTCGACGGCGCCTCGACTTCGGGCTGTGGGTCTGATTTAGCTTCTGATGTGGCTGGAGAGCTTGATCGCCGGCCACCTCGTATACTGCGATCCATGTCGGACAACATGGCATTGGCCACCATGGCTGCCGCTCTAATCCGAGTCCTGCGGCCGTTGCCAGTGTAGTAGGGCTCCGAGTCGCTTGAGGCAGCCTCCTCCTCGTCTTCCGAGAACACTAAGGGATTTTAAAATATAATTATAGGTAGGGGTTAAAAATTAATAACCATGTAATATATTCACCTTCATCCCAGAATTTGCGTCTAGCTGGCCTACGCTTTTTCTGCTGCGTGACAGCTTCTTCGTCCACTGCAGGCGTTGGTTCTGGTTCCTCCTCGGCCTCCGGCAGGTTAGCCGCGTTCTCGTAGCCCTCCTCGATGGTGCCGTAGTCCAACTGCGGTCGATCCCTGTACTTCGCATAGTCGATCTGCAGATACTGCAAGTGGTCGCCTGCCTCGGCCATGTTGAGCGACACAAATTTGTTCTTCAGGTCCCGGCTTTTTAGTAGAGCATGGCATCGTTCGTGCAGCGTGTGCCAATCAAGAGCCCAGGAGTATCGCTTGTTTCGCGGCTGGAAGACCACCGTCAGAAGGTCCTTGATTATGCTGCGGGGTAGCCGCAGCGCCTGCAGCGACTTATATACAGGATCGTAGTCGGCCACTGGAGCGTGATGGTTAGTTATGGTCACAATCTCGTCCACATCGATGGTAGAGCTCAGCAGTTCGTACTTGACAGTGTGGGCGGCCGCAGCTGGCGGCCAGTGATCCTCTTCCTGACGCTTCTTCTTGATACGCGAACATCGCCGCACTTCGTTGTAGTTCACAGTTATCGGGTTAAGGTAGAAAGCCGTAAGCCAGAATTCTGCCTCCATGAATCCATGGTCGGAGAATACTTTTGCCAAGTCGGCATAATTCGTCGACATCTTCTGCTCCAAATCGAGCATAAACTCGGTGGTTAGACCGGGATGATAGCGCCATATTTCAATGGCATTTAGCTGCTGACCAATGATCTTTAACAGCAAGGCAATCTTGGCAAACTTCCAGCCTGAAAAGTTCTGAAAGAAAACAAATGTTTAGACCATATGTGGCAAGAATTAGATCTTTCAACTTACTCGTTCTGCCAAAAGTTTGTACACAAAGGTTAAAACCTCCTCGTTGTTCGGTACATTTTGAAATACCGGATCTATTTGTCGATCCTGCTCCTCGTCCGCCTCAGGCAATGGCTTTTCATCATCGTCACAGTTCTTGTAGTTGCCAATATTACTGGCTCGGTTTCCTTTGCATATCTGCTGTTGGTAGTTTAGATTAAGATCCACCACATGTGGCTGGAAGTGGCTATTTCGCTGGTTCTCCATCTTCTTTAGCTCTTCCAGGAGGAACCGCTCACTGTTTTCCCGCTCCTCCACGTAGCGATACATCAGTACCTTGAACTGCGGCAAGTGCTCCAGGAAATCATGCTCGTTGAGTGCCTGAAGCTCCATCAAAAGATTGCCCAGCACATAGCTGGAGTAGGCCTCCAGCATGACGGCGAAGGAGGTGACCAGATTGAGCTTGAACTTCTTAAAGCCAATTTGCTCGAAGAAGCCATTCCTGCCGAGCTTCAGACGCACACAAACCTGGGCAATAAGACGAGCTGGTGTGAAGTTGATGTCATGCGAGATTGAAGCTTCTTGCATGGTCTGGGCGTAGAAGCGAATGTTGTACATCTGAGAGAGGATTGTTTAATGCATTAGTCTGTAATGTTGTGTCTTACACTATTTCCTACCAAATTATCAATAACATAGCCGCGGTTTTCATCTCTAACGAATATAGTCAAAAGGTATAGATGCCCCACCAGTGTAATAGTGTTCTGATCCTGTTCAATGGACTCAAATGGCACATTTTCGTGGGCCTTTAGCCAAGCTGCCAGCATGCGGAGGGCCAGCTGCTTTACGGCCTCAAAGTTGCCGGCGTTAAAGAGCTGCATAAGGCGCAGGATGATCAGGGAGAGACCCTCCTGCATCAGGAAGGCAATGTCTGAAGGAAAACAGAGGAATTAGGGTGACTTATGTGGATAAACAGAACCCTCGAACCTTCTCCTGACGCCACAGGAACAGTGTGCTCGATGGCATGGTGCTTGTTCATCTTTAGGTTGAGGAACAGATGCTGCAGGTACGGGGTGCTCCAGGGCTTCGTCTGGAACTGCAGGATGTAAGACCAGTCGATCTTGGACAGGTCGCCAATCCGGTAGAAAGCCGGCACCGCCTTGGTGAGACTGTACAGCAGCAGGTGCTTGAGGCCCTCGGAGCAGGTGTTCCACTCCTGGCTGAACCACATCTGCAGCGAGTGGTGGGCCAGAACCTGGACGATGTGGCGCAGCGCCGGATCCTCGAAGGATTGCGCTTCTCTGGTGGGCAGGTGGCACACCTCCCAGCCGTAGATCAACTGGGACAGCCGGTCATTGCCCATCAGCTCGAACACATCCACATCGCTGTGGCCGGTGCAGAATACAAACATTTTCTGTAAATATAGATTTTACCCCTGAAAATATCAGGACCATGGCGAGTAAATATAGAACGCAATCGCTCACCGCCGAGAACTCATCGTAGTCTAGCTGCTCCGCGCAATCCAGGAACTTCTGCGCATTGTGCACTTCCTGGGGCAGTATTATCTCCATTTCGCAGCCTTTATTTCATGACAGTCCTGTGAAAACCTTTCAGAAAGACAACTTAATTGTCAGCCGGCCTTATATTTATTTGTCTAGCTAGAGATGGAACCCTAATTTATATTTGGGACAGGGTGGCAGCGCCGGTTGGTGTACTCGCTACGGATGGTGGCTGCACTCGCTAAGGAAATGGATGTCAACTTTCCATGCTTTTTAGCTTTCGTCAGACAGCAACGTAATGCCAACTTTTAATTTAATAATTTATAATAAATATAACAAATATATTTAATAAAATTGTTATTAATATCGACACGGAAATATAAATTAGACCTTTATATATAAAACAAATAATTATAAAAAAGAGTTAAAGAAATGTTTTTACTAATGAGGGTTGTCACCCTGGAGATAATTTATATAATATATAAGTACAATTTAAAATTTTGAGTTGGTAGTTAGTAAGTCTACTTACCCCATATTTCTGTCTTTTCCTTGAGACTTCATAATAATAATGAGACTTTGTACTTCAGTGTGGAATTGGTATATCTTGGCCAATTTTGATTAGAGATGAAAGTCGCGAATAGATAATATTTTAAGGAGTAGTCTTATGCACAACATTCCACTGGAATGTCATAATGAAACCACTTCTTTGATGTACTCCATTCGTTTCCTGTCCAGAGCACGCAGGAGGCTTCAATCCCGCATGCCATTACATCGCAGCAGCTCTTCTTAGTGCCCAGATTTTCGTGCGACCACAGAGATTTTCTAAAGGAAGTCCACGCTTATCAAGGTCACTTCCTTCGCCGTTATAGTGGAATTCTTCTTCAGCGATGTGCTGCGAAATCTTCTGATGAAGCAGGAGGCAATCGACGAGCAGGTTTTCCAGAAGGACTTCACGCAGGACGAGATACTAGAGAATAGCTCATTGGAACAGCTAAAAATGCAGACTGCGATTTCTTCCGAAGTGCTTCTGCTCAATCATTACACCCAAAGCCAGATTTGCCAAAAAAAAAACACTTTTCAGGAAGGATATTTGCCAAGATTGCGCTGCTGTGAAGATTATTGGCCAGTAACTAAAGGCCACGGCCTTATAGCGCCATCACACCGGCTGTTAACGACCTTTTGCTCTATTTAGACGATACGAACTGTGACGATGATGAAAAGCAACTGTCCAGTTTTTTCTTTCCAATGACTGGCCAAAATCCAAGTGACATATGCCTCACGGCACGAGTACAAGTAATCGAATGATCGATGTCACTATAATATCGTATTGACCAAGCAGTGTTGTATAATTTGATATCATATCATCGTTGAAAAATTAATAAAATATTTAAGAAACACAAGGTTCATTTTTTGTTTGTTCATAATCGAATTAAGAGCTTTGTATAATTAGAGGCAGCGAATATGCTTGTCTGGATAAAATGGGATCTCCTTGCTCTGAAGAATTCCCTGTTTGATTTTCTTGAAGAATTCCTGTACAACTTTTAATGATAGGTACTAGTAAATTAGGTATGTGGTTTTCCCCATTCTGAAAAATGTTCGATTGAAATTTTTTGACAATCAGAAATAAAAGAAAATCTAATACCACAAGACTTGAAAAACTAAACATAAATAATATTTATTTTTCTTAAAAAAAAATTAAAGTTTAGGTATGATTTAACTTTTGCCTTGACCTCTAGGAAATTGTGTTCCCCATGACTTTCGTACACCCTGCCCCTTTGTTGGCCAGATGGCATATGCAAAGTGCAAACAAATTATTATTAGCTGCCAACAGTGCCAGCTACATCATCTTCACAATGCGCCAAGGGATTCCCATACAAACGTGGCCTTCAGTGGAAAAGTAGAAAGGAGAAGGCGTTAGGTCAAGGCGGGGCTTCGCTGCGTTCTTCCATTGGGCGGCCATTGTTCCGCCTTTAAGAGGACCCCATTTAATTCACTTTGTCACCATGCAAATGCAACATTAGTGGTGACGTTTTTAAATAGATCGCTCAAAGGTCTCCGTCGGATACCAGCAATTAGGCCAGACACGTAAATGGAAATGATTTACAATCGTTTGCTGCTTCTGTAGCTGCTGCTGCTGCTGCAGTCTACAACCCATCAAGTGCACTGAGAAAAATTGGTCACCAAATAATTGATAAGGTATGGTAAAAATTTCGTTTAATTTTGAGTGTGATTTGTACATATTTTTTCCAAATCTGTGTAAGTTAATTTCCTATTACTTTATGTAAGTCATATAAGAGCATGTTTTTACTTTCCTTCTTTGCACCAAAAAATCGAAGTAAAGTTTAACGTTAAAAGTTAAAGAGAACGTTAAATGAGAAAGAAATATGTTCTTCTTAAGCTAGCTTAGTTAGCATATTACAAAAATATGACTTAAATACATAATCAAAACATGTAAAAATTACTCAAATTTCATAATATATTTTGTAAATCTGTAATCTATATTCTGTTTAGCTCGCTTTATTTTCTGTTAATTTGTTTTAAATAATAAATTTAGGTATATTATAATCGATCCATCCTTTTTTCCGTGTTGCGGGGGAACGGACACATGTAGCTGTCACCGGCGTTGAGAGTCGACAGCGATTTATCAGTGGGCAAATCAATTAGTAACTACGTAGCTTATCGTCGGGATGGGCGGGTGTTCCAACAGGCGACGAGCCTCATGGCCCATTCATTATACGCACCGGCAGAGGAGTGTCATAAATATTCCCATCATCGTTTATGCGGCTCCCCATCAAATGGCCGCAAATGAAAACCTGTTGATGTCCCCCACACACGGTGAACGATACACAACATACAACGCCCACCCACTGACATCTTCGTGGCGACTCTCTTGTAATTGAAGAAGCTCTTTTTTCCTACGTTTTTTAGCCACAAAACGGCGAGGAGGCGCTGTGTCGCCATAAATATTCATGAAGCACTAAAAGGGTTCTCGTCCGGATGCTTAGGTCCTCCTGCTGGGTTGTCGCATGTGAAGGTAAGTGGATGGTAAGTGCCGGGAATCGTATTTCTGTTTGGTCAATTGTCGCCACCCGGCGACAAAGAAATGCAATATGCAATATGCTCCATTGTAAGTGTGGAGTGTGTTTAATTTTAAATGCCCCAAGGAGAGCGTGTACCTGAATTTGAATGAGTCCAAGGCTGGTTTTTTCCCCAGGGAATCGGCTATGGCTCGTCGGATGTGGGGGGTGTGAATTCGGTGGGCGCATAAGTAAACAATCGCGCATGTGTGCCCTAAACTCGGGGCTTCCCCCCACTCACTCACACACACACTCTTGCAAGCACCCTGCTAAGTAGGCAACACACTTTTCGGCCACTTCCGTTGCACAAACGGCGACAAGCGGATATCCATATCCCCCATCTGCCATTGTGTGCGTGCGCAGCCGGCAGTCCTGTCAGCACACACAGACTCACACACTCACACTCGCACACGAAGTACCGTTCGTGGACGTTGGGATTCCCGTTCGGGCGGCGATTCGTTTCCGTTTTGATTTATAAGCGAGCGCAGCGCCGGTCTGCGTATCATTAGCATTCGATCAACAGGTTTGTGCACAACCAGGACATCCAGCTGCTCGCTCCACATAAAATCACTTTCACACCGGTCAAGTGAGAGCGCTAATTGAATTCCAGTCGTGCCCATAAATTCAATTATAAACGCTATTTCATGTGGAAAAAAATTGTATAAAAGAGTGACCGCAAAACTCGAAATATATTCAAAAACCTTGGCCCCAGTTTCCGCTGGCCGCAAAACAAACATACGCAAAAAGTATTTGGAAATATACGCAGGTGAGTGGTCGACTCAATATTCAATAATTCGATTGTGTTAGGTGGAAAACCAATTTTCAAAGTCAATTCGTGTAGTTCGTTTTCTAATTGTTAACTGAAATACCAAAGCTATTAGATATTTATTCATATAAGATGGAGGCTTATAGATCCAAAGTAGATTTAACTTATTTTCTAAGCAGTTTTGATTTATAACTAAATTATTAGTAACACATAAAATGTTTAAAAATGGTGCGAACTTTAAGTGGTAGCTCAAAATATAGAAATTTGTGTTTTAATTCCTACTACTTTTAGAAATTTTAAATCTAAAGTACGTTATAAGTACCAATTAGTTTGCATAATATCCGACAAAATGTAGTTGATCTTTATAAAATTCCACTTATAAATAATTTAACACAAGAAAAAAGATAAGAACATATAATAATTTAAAAAAAATGAATTACAAAAGAAAAATCTTTGAATTGCGGAAAATGAAAAAGTTCATGGTAAAAGAAGGAAATCAAGTATTTTTTTTTGAGAAATAATAACGCTGGACTTAAAAATGCCAAACAAATTTTGTAATCCATAAAGATTTATATTAAACAAGTTTTATCACTCATCACAAAAACCCTATTTTGCAATGATTTCATTTTGTGTAACAAAGCTTTTTAATGCATTAATTATTTAGTACCCACATATGTCGACGCATTTGGCTGAATTTATGTTTTGTGAAAAATTTTAACTGGGTCCCCTTGAATATTCATTAAAACCCAACGATGAAATTTTTGCCAAAAATAGCAAAACATTTTTTTTTTATTTTTGTTTTGCTTTTGAAAAATCCAAAGGCTCATCAGCGTAAATTTATTTACCATGGCCAAATTATGCACAACTCCTCTGCAAAACAAACTCACTAAATTGAAGCGAGAAAAGGAGGAAAGGAGAAAAACCCCATGGCTAACCTGCTTGAGACGAGCAGTATATTTACTCTTTTGCGGATATTTTGTTTATCTAAGAATTTTCGTTAATGTCCATGTCCCCGAGAAGATCTCGATTCGACGAGTTCTTGAGCGTGGGTGCCGGCAGGAAACCTATTTAAACAAAATACTTATTGGCAAATGCCATCCTTTGACAAATATTTACCCTAGCTATTTATCGAGACATGCAAAAAATAGAAGAGCAGGCAAATTCGATTTCCAGTAAGCTGTTTAATTTTGGCGCGAAAATGTGTTTGCCACACTTGAAGGAGTTGCTATAAGCAGGGCGGAATCTTCTATCCTGACACCACATGAATTATTCTGCAACTGGCTGGCAAATTAATAATGGAGTAGAGCGCGTCAACTAAGAAATTCAAAGGAACGTCAGCCGCAAGGGCCATAAATATTTTCAGTTAATTTCAATTACAAGTTGACCCGGCACGATTGCCTGGCCTTTGTCCCACCGCCACCATTACCATCACCATCGGGGGTCATAAAATTCGATGCGTGCTCTATCATCGCGGTGGCTATATATTATAATTTGGCGCAAAGCCGCTAAAACTTTCATCTGGGCGGTGTCAATCAATCAACGACAAGCGCACAAATTAAGTTCTAAGCCGGAAAAAAGCGGCCAACTCCGCACTCGGACAATCAGTCAGGAGTCGGGAGTCAGCAGGAGCTAGGGGACGTATCCGAATCCGTATCCAAATCCGCATCCGTATCCAATGGGTTGAACACTCACCCACCGCCGACGCTTCTCAATTAGTCGGCCAATCCAAGTGGGCGGCCAGCAACATCATTTAATCAGGCGAGCCCACAGATAAGATACCATTTTGAGATTTGGGTGGGCTTTGAATACTTGATTCCTGGTTGATGACTTTCCATGTTGGCGCCTACCAGCTGCTGCTGATTGTGCAATTGACCATAAAATCTGACTGGGATTATTAATGGGCTTATTCGAACGGAAGTGAGGCAGTTAAGGGGTTAGATTTGCTCATTAGGCTTAGTTGCAAATACTTTTTTGGGTCCATTCCCAGTTATATTATATCAGCTTATATTTTTTTAGATATATTTCGGTTTTAAGATACTTCCTAATTTTAAACCAAAGATTTTTTTTAACTTCTTAGTTTATTACTCTGGCTTAAATTTAAAATTCTGATATAGTATTAGAAATGTAGTAACTATAAAAAAGCGTCTTAATAATAGTTCCTTTTTCAGATTTTGAAATGTTTAAGGGTAACCTTAAGGGTAATAATATGGTTAAATATGTTGATGCTGAAAAGCAGTTTAAAAAGATAAAAATTTTGTTTAAGAATTTTTCAATATGTTTTCCATCACTGCTTAAACATAATTATTTGTCACTCGACAGAGCCATACATTGTAAGTTTAAACGTATGCATTATTTATGAGGGTTTTATTGTGTCTAAGAAAATTGGCAATAATGAAAACATAAATTGGTTCCTCTTCCTTGAAGTGTCCTTTATGTAGGATGTGGCTTTGTTGACAGCTAATCGTAGCATGTATGCAAATCAACATGGTTGCGATGCTCATGCGAAAGCATAGGAAAAACTACTTTAGCAGGAAATGCAAACACGCGCTGCCTTTCCACCCACACTCAGGAAAATTTCAGTGAACTTTCCTCCCGCCTTTGTCTAGTCTGTCGAGTGGCCGCAAGTGCAATCGCAAGGCACTTAAGCCCATGCGTAAACACAGCCATAATCTTGACTGTGGGGCAGCATATTAACGTTTTAAGGCATCATTATCGACTGGGATTCCAGCTTGAGTTGCCAATCATTTGCTGCGTTGGCTTTTTAACCACCCCTCCTCCCCCAAAATTCCCCCATGTTTTGCCACACTCACATTCCACGGGGCCTACTGGAATAGGCATTCCATAGACATGCCCCCTAGTAAGCCCCCGCTGGTTGCTACCTCCAAAAGGGACATTAATAGGCCATAAATTGTAACTGTTATGCGCTGCTGCCTTTTAACGCAGCGGTCGACAGACGGCATGACCTCAGTTATCCCCGCGGAGGTGGGCCGCCCCATTCACGCCCACTCAGCGGCCCCCACCGCTTTCAATTAGAGAGGTTATTTAGCTAAATCGCTACGCTTGTTGCCCGCACTGTTGTTCCATCCGCGTGTTTCCGTAATTCAGAGGCGCGGGCGGAAATGATTGCCGCAGGACTCGCTCCAGGACCTTTCGGGACTTCCCAGAACCCCCAGGGAGCAGTCGAGTGCCGTCGGCAGCGGCTTAATTGAGCATTCCGCGAGTGCGGTTGTGACTCCTCCTCGGGATCAGTCATTTGCCGGGCATTTATTCATTCATATTTACACCTTTCCACTGAAAGCAATTTACTTGGGATATTTTTAATTTTCTATAAAATTATATTTTGTTGTATTAGGTTTTGATTAAAAATAAGAAGTATTTCATTTTGATTTGAGGAACTTTATATCTAGGCTACCATAACATTTGAAAATGAACAAGTAACTACGTCGTTAAAAAAGAAAATAACATAAGACTACAAGCAATTATTTTAAGATGAATAGTATTGCTAAGTAAATTTTAAATATCCAAAAAGGTTCTATAAAATATAAATGATATACAATATAATGCCTAAAAATTTTAAACTTTTAATATCTCTCTAATATCTGAGAGAGGATTTTTTTAAAGTGCACTACGGAAACAGCAGCCTTAATTTGGGCATCTATTGACTAAATTTCCACCTTTGATTTTCTTATCTCCACAGTGATGGCTCACACGAAGACGCGGAGAATCTACGAATTTCTGCTAATGCTCCTAATCCTGGAAAGCGCCTGCGGCAGTTTGGTGGCCAGTGGCAGTGCCTCCAGTGCAGCCTCCAATGAACCAGGCGGCGGAGGCCTCTCCGAACAGGTGGTACTGGATCAACTTAGCGAGAGCGACCTGTATGGCAACAACAAGCGTGCCTGGCAGTCACTGCAGAGTTCGTGGGGCAAGCGCTCATCCGGCGGAGATTCAGGGGATCCGGATATCTATATGACCGGACACTTTGTGCCCCTGGTGATTACAGATGGCACCAACACCATCGATTGGGAAACCTTTGAGAGGCTGGCCAGTGGACAAACATCACCACAGCAGCAGCAGCAGCAGCAGTCGAACCAACAACAATCACAGTCTGGTGAGGATTTGGAGGAGCTGGGAGGTGAACCCGATGTGGAGAAGCGGGCCTGGAAGAGCATGAACGTGGCCTGGGGAAAGAGGCGGCAGGCGCAGGGCTGGAACAAATTCAGGGGAGCCTGGGGCAAGCGCGAACCCACCTGGAACAACCTGAAGGGCATGTGGGGCAAGCGCGACCAGTGGCAGAAGCTCCACGGCGGATGGGGCAAGCGCTCCCAGCTGCCCAGCAACTAATCCGGCACAGAACCGAAAGAGGAACACCTAACCAGACTTACTAATCCACCTGTATCTAATCGTATTTAGCATGTGTGTTTCCCCTGCGAAGGGGTTCCGTTCTCAGTGTCCATGTCGCATTAGGTTGTCCGGAAATTCTCCCGGTCCCGGGCCACTGAAAGTCAATTCCGAAAATGTATGAAAGCGCTCGCCTGTCAAAATGGATCCCGATGACATGCGATCCGGATCGCCGTCTCGATCAGCCAGTATTATACGCATTATATCAGTGTGTCTATAGTCAAATAATCCCCTAGCACCTAGTTTCCAAGTATACAAGAGGACCTTTTCGAAGAATACCGCTTTAAATTAGAAACGTTAACTAAGTTAATGAATTGTGCATATACATTTATACTTAAATATACATCAATACCTACGAACTATCAAAATTAAATACAAGTACGTTGAAAGTATTATGAATGAGTATGGATTTCAATGCGGATGGGTCGAAGTTTTTGAACCAGTTTAAAACTATTGGATATTACTTAGATAATGTGTATCGAATGCCGAACGACTTTTATTAAATTTAAATTTGATTCGTATTTCAAACATAAATATGAGAATTTTGAGTCAAAAACTTAAACTCAGCAAAAGGTGCCTATAAAGTCAAAAGCGTATAATCATAGATTTCTGGTATAAAAAAAATCAATTAACATGTTCTTCAAAAATATTAAACATAAGGATTTGGCGTGTTTCGGAGTGACCACATTTGTGTTGGTCGTGTGCTTCACCCTGATCTCAGTCTTCTCAGGATTCGAACACGAATCCCAGAGATATAAGACGATGATGGTGACCGTCGTACTGGTGTTCTTTTTCCTGTACCTCGTCTACGAACCCCTCCGGTTCCTTGTGATGGCCATCGATTACGCCACTTGGCCGGACGAGGATCAGCCCTACAAGGCAGAGAGGGGTTTATCCAAGCCTAACCACATTGCCTACTTAAAGGTCCGTCTGCGTAGTCTGCGCTCTGAACTCCTAATCACCGAGAGACACCGGAACGAGAAACTGAATCGGAGGTACAAACATATTGCCGGGGACCTTTTGCTCTACGGCTCGTATTTCGTGGCCCTCATGGTGGTGGTGGTGATGCAAGAGGACCAGTGTCTTTACTACAATACCAACAACATGCAGCGACTCTTCAGGGACAATACCTCGGTCACCTTTGGCCTGACGGAGGTTTATTTTATCTACCAGGTAAGTAAAGCTTTTTGGGAATTTACACGCAAGTAAATCTGGCTTTCAATACCGCTATATATATATAATAAATATTAGACGAATAAATAAATTTAAAATTATTTAATGACCCTTTACTACGATTTCAAGAAAATCCCTATACTGTTCAAACTTGTTTTAAGACCTTGAAATTAAAAACTTTATAATATGAATATACTAAAGCAAATGTGGTATTTTACCCTTCTTTAAACTATATATAATATATAAGAAAACCATAATCACCAGGTTTTTAGCTTAAACTCTTCTGTGAATCCCTAATCCAACCTATCCCATCCTAGATCCACTATTATCTCAGGATTACCATGGTCGAAGCCTTTTTTTCGCCAAACACCTATGGTTACGAGGGCTGGTGGGCCATGGAGCAGTGGCAGAAGATCGGGGTGATTCGGTTGCGCCAGGTACGTCCCGTCCACAGCCACAATGGACTGGGCGAGCCCGAGTGGGACACCACCACGTATTCGCCCGAGTGGCGCCTCCCCTACCAGCGGCTGCATTATACGGACAAGTTCTGGCGAATTTATGAACCCTTTCGACCGGCCCAATTCGAGATAACCTTTCTCAATGGCCTCCTGCTGAATTTCAATCACTGGGGCTATTTGCTTAGATACCCGGAACTCGCGGGCTACATAGTTCTGTTGATGAGTACAAAGGTTGGATATACATTATACATTATACATTATACATAGAATATATATTATAAATTTAATTTTTTACTAGGTAAACTGCCTTAAGCAGATAGAATACCTGAAATCCTACAGTTGGCTGAATAAAAACACCTCGGCTCTGTTTATTGACTTTACCATGTACAATGCGGATATGAATGCATTCACGGTGATCACTTTGCGCGTGGAGAACTCCCAGTTTGGCGTCCAGCTACCTCGGGTGCATGTGGACACTGTAATGATGCTGGGCTCTGTGGAAACCAGGAGCGCCTTTGAGCTTTTCGTCCTGTTCGTGTACGCCATCCTGGTCATCCAATTCGGTCGTGGAGTTTTTTCCAAGATATGGCACGATCGGACCGCGCTCCACGAGGCCTGGACCGCGGTGGACCTGGTAATTTGCATGCTAAATATCTTCCTGTTGGGTCTGACTGTAATGCGCGACATTGAGACGGACGATCTGTCCGATATGATCGAGACAAACACCAGGGGGCAATACCTCGACTTCCAGCGCCCATTGGTCCTACATCAGGTGCTGGGCATTGTTAAGGGCTTCCTGGTCGCCATCACCACTTTGCGGCTGTGGAAGGTCCTGCAGTTTGCCGCCGTTTTCCAGCACTTCACCCATACCCTCTTCTACGCCTGGCGAGCAGTGGCCAGCCTGGGTGTGATCATCCTAGTCCTCCTCATGGGCATCGGCATCGCCCTGGCCGTGCCGAATGGGAACAATGCCGAAGTCTTCCATCACATCATCCAGGCCGTCATCACCTGCTTGTGGTAGGTATGGGGTCTTAACAGATACACTACTTTAAAGGTAGTCAAAAACGAATCTTTATCTATTATTGCATAGGATATTAAACATTCGGTATACATCTTTTTTATCAGTGTTATTTCCAATATTAATATTCTTTTATTTTATTAAAACTTAGGTACTCCGTGGGCTTTAGCGGGGGCATCAAACCAACGGATTTCTTCCACGGAGGCCGCATCCTGGGCATTATGCTTTACCTGGTGCTGGTCTTTCTGCTGGCGATTCTCCTGATGAACGTGTTCGCCTCCGTCATCTATGACTACTTCAACGAGACGGGCAGGGACTTGAAGGAGCAGACGGGCGTGAAGCAAATCACCTTTTGGGAGTTCCTGCGCATCGAGTACGTGGATGTGTGCACGCGGTGGTTCCGATGCACTCAAAAAAAGTACCATCGTCGTGGTCGCACTGTTGCACAGAACGTGGAATGGACGCTAAGCCTACAGGAGGAGGAAATGCTAAACAAGCAACCAAAGCCAAGGATCTCCGACGCGGAGCGTCATGCAGACTACCTGAGACGCGGCGAACGGATGTTCAAGCTCATGGCCATCCTGAATGTCCAGGTCGAGATGCTGGAGCGTTTGGTTCTCGGCGACGAGAATGGTAATCTGCCCACGCCACCGGCATCCGACTCTGATCCCGACGATATGCCAGAAATGTATCGCAAACGGCGTACAGTAGAACTGGGACAATTATAATACCCCCAAAATAACATTGCCGTTATATAACTATACTGTTCTGCAGTTATTGCTGATTTTTTGTGGAAATATAGATATAATCTAGTAAGAATAAAAGTTTTTTAAAAGTACGTTTAGTTAGGGAAAATACAAAGTTGAACTTTTATACTTCATATAAAATATTTAAGGTTCTTTATTAAATTTTTAACTTAAGTACTAAACATAAATGTTTTGGTACCTTTTATTTTCTTTCCAATTTTCTATCTTTACATGCATATATCTCATGAGATATGCTTTTAAAAGTATCCTAAAGATAATCTTTTAAGTACCTCTTTACCAGAGAAAAGAACAATCTAAAGTATTGCGTAACTTATTTAACAACTCTATTCACAATTGCTCTAAAACACTTTCCATAGGCTGAACTTTCTTTTGTACTAAAGTTGACTTTTTGCCAACCCTCTCGACCTCACCTCCGATCATTCCCCTTGGCTGAGCACCCACGCCTGAAATAGGCAGCGATAAATGATTTAATTAAACGGAGATTGTGACTTCTGTGTTTTTTTTTTGCTGGGGGCGTGAATAACCCCACTAATTTCGGGGGTTACAAATTTTGGGTACGCACACTTTTTTCAATAAGCCGCGAGAGGGACAAATTGGCAACTACATGCCCACCAGCTCCGCCACCTGATGAAATGCCTGACGAAAGAGTGTGGAAAGAATTCCCTGGCAGTATCTTGAAGAGCTCCCAAGCTGGCGGCACTAATCGCTACCGAAACGCACTGCAGACGTCTCAATGCCAGCAGCCAAGCGGCGATTTGAAATCGCGGCTTGAAATTGTCTAACTGCAATTTGTCGCCACCGCTTGTAATGCCACCCACTCCAGGTGACGACATGTCTGGTGATGGGTTTGAACCCTTATAAAGTCTTTCGATCCGTAGGCGGCGCACTCAGTTGAAATGTTCGCGCTCAAAGGGAAGTTACTCCCGGCCCTTGGCCTATACCTCGGTCTCTTTATAACCGTAACAGCCGCCCAGGTACAAAATAAGACTAAGGAACCCGAATCCTGGAAGCCCATGCAACCACAGAAACGTCAAGCTATCGTGAAATTGGACCCCCTCGGCTCTGCAGCAGCCAAGAGCTATGATCCACCTCCGGAATTTTACCGCGGACCGGGTTCAACGACCTCCAAGTTGGACAGCACTGCAGCTGGATTTATATCGAAACCCATCAGTTCACTGCCTCCAGCTGGAGGAGGAGGAGGACCTGGTGGTTCCCACATCAGCAGTCTACATGAGAATCTCAGCGAGGCCTACGACAAGTGGAGGCTGGGTGGAAGTATTCAAGACCGGATTAGCGTGGGTGAGTCAAGGGAATAAGCTAATCATATGAAATATAACTATGCGTCAGATTTTATGTGAAATCGTTTTTTGTAATCCAATTTTAACATATCGCCGACTAGCTACCAATTTTTTATAGAAACCTAAATTTGTATTAAATTATCTAATTATAATTTTATGAAAACTATTTTTAATCAAACAAATGCATCCGTGAATCGTCGTCTAATTACAACTATACAGTGGATTACGCATATAACAGACATAATAACTGATATAATTTTATACAATCATGGATCACGGATTTAATAATTTCAAAAAAAAAATTTTAATTTTATTCCATTGGAGTTAAAATAATTAATACTTAAATTGTGTTTTATGCTTACTACTTTTCCCATGAAATGGAAACTATAAACATTTTTATTGTGTATTCCTCTTTTGGAGGTCAAATTTTCAATGAAACGGATATTATCAACATTTTCAATTCGCTTTATCTTTATAAAGGTCACTATGCCGGCAGTGGAAGTACTAGCAAAAGCTACGCCTATGATAGTCAGCCATATCAGTACGACTACGGATCCCCTAATGGACATGGCTACGAGCCAGGACCTGCTTCTGGGCACGGCTACTCCTCCAGCGGGGAGGCGGGAGTCCCATACCATGTTTACAGACCCCGACCGGAGCCTGGTCACTACCCTGGGCCCCCTTTGGATTACTCCTACAGCTCGTATCCCATCGATTCTCACGAAATCGTCTCGCACAAAGGATCGCTGGAACTTTCACCCAAAGCCCTGCTGGCCAAAAGCTTCCTCATTCCTCTGGCCAGTGCCACCGTTCTGGGCATCGCCGCTGCCCTGATCAGTAATCCTCTCCTGCTCCAACTGGCTCCCGTTCCCGGAATTGGAGTGGGAGTGGGAATCGGACCTTCAGCAATTGGCAAGCGGAGAAGGAGAAGACAAGCTGTGAAGCGTGTTCCTAGATCAGGGAGCTACTCGTTCTGATTTCTTAATCAGAGTACTTTCTTTCCTAAACGTTTATAAATCAGGAAGTATTATAAAATATTTAAATAAAGTTTAAACTCTGTTTTTATTTAAAAAAAAACTTCGTACTTCAAGATTACATGAAACCAATTTCCATGTATTTGCAATCTTTATCTTTCAAAAAGTTTGCAATGCAGTTATTTGCAAAGTCACACTTTATTCGCTTTAAGCGATTAATATATATGTATATAGCATCCAACGATATCATCATTATTACAGGGCTCTTTGAAGATTAGAAAATAAATTCAGAATCAGTACTTCAAAAGCCTTTGTCTCGGTTGCTTGCTGTTAATATGCTTAAGTTCGCGACTTATTTTTCGTTGGCATTCCTTATATTGGGTCTCTATGGATCCGAGGCAGAAGTTAAGGGTGAAGGCAGATCTGTATGCCTACTTCACGACCCACCAAATCAGTGTGGAGAATTCTGCCTGGAGGCTCTAAAACCAATGCTCGATCACATAGCTTTCCACCAGAAGGAGTGGATCGCCTGCGGAACCCAAAATGAGACCCAGGCGAAGTTGGATAAAATCGAGGATTACCTACTCAAACTTCAGGAATCTCTGGAGAAAAAGGAGGCTACCTGGAAAACTGTAATTGATCGACTTGAGAAGCAATTGACGGACCTGCAGGAAACACAGTCAAAAGCAAAGAGTTCTGTTTTATCTCCCCTGTTCCAACGGATTGGGGAACGATTATTTTACATTGAAAGAGCAATTCGTCGGACCTGGAATGAAGCTGAAGAATCCTGCCGGATGATGGGCGGTCACCTTGCGAGTATCCAACATGATGTGGAACTAAATGCTATTGTCGAAAAGCTGGAGAGGAGTACTAGCTACTGGCTGGGTGCCACCGACGTCGTCAAGGAGGGGGAATTTGTCTCGGTCGCCTCTGGGAAACCCACATCCTTTTTCAAGTGGAAGAGCGGTCAACCCAACAACTTACATGGCAATGATCACTGTGTGGATATCTATAATGGCTATATGTACGACAGCGAATGTAGTGAATCCGAATTTTATATTTGCGAGGCGTTGGAATCAGTAAAATAATAATATATTTTGAATTAATTAGGATTCGGTAATAAGCTGGAAAGCCTGGTATTATATTTAAAGTGGAAATTAATAAAACAACGTAACAAAAACTATATGAGCGAAATTGTTGCTAAGCCTGTCCTAACAAGAATTTAATGAATTTGTCGTATCTCATTGAGCAAGCACGAAAAAAAAACACAACACATTAAATTTATCATCTTTCAGTACAAAACGTTATGATTTTTCATTTTATTCCAAGAAAACACGGAAACTATAAAATAAAATAAGGAAAAAAATGCCAAAAAACAAGGGGACACCCGGGTTTGAACCGGGGACCTCTCGATCTGCAGTCGAATGCTCTACCACTGAGCTATATCCCCATGCTGACACCGCGTGGCAACTTGCAAAAATGTAGCCCCCTGCTGGGGACACGTTTTATACCCGTTAGTCATGGGAAAAAGGGTATATTGTATTCGTTGAAAAGTATATAACAAGAAGAAGGAAGTGTTTCCCACCCCCTAAAGTATTTATATTCTTAAACGGGTTCACTAGCCGAGTCGATCAGCCATGTTCGTCGTTTGTCTGATAACTATAATAGCAAGAGAGTTATGACTCAACGTGAAGACCGAACTGCCTACGTAGCGCAAGCTTACTCTAAAAAGAAATCGCGGAAAATGTTTCAAAGTGGAATGTTATTATAAAACTATAGATAAATAAAGCATGTCCAGTGACGTCAGCGACAGAGCAGATAAATTGGTGCTCTTGTACAGGCCTAAAAAATTGTCAACAAAGGTTGCCGTCGTATCGAGCATATGCTTGTAAATTGGTTAACAGATTAAGAGGTATCTGATAGTCGGGACACTCGACGTTAGAATTACCTCGGGTTTTATATTGAGTGATTAGCTGCCCGCGGATCAGCCCGGCTCGTTGGTCTAGAGGTATGATTCTCGCTTCGGGTGCGAGAGGTCCCGGGTTCAATTCCCGGACGAGCCCAAGTGGAAAAAATAACTTTTTTTTTAATTTGTAAAAAATTAAAATAAAAAATGTTGCTTGTTTTAAAATTAAAAAATTCCTTTATACTATTTTTAAACCGCTGAAATTAGGTTAGTTTTAATTTAAAACTTTTAAGCTCGTAATAATATATAAAAAGTTAGCCGTTTTTTGCTTGTTCTAGAAACCTATTTATTGGTTGTTCCACTTTTCTTATCAGTTGGAATTTTGTTATTTTTGGCTGCAACTATGCAGAAATAGCCATAAACTATCTAGAACTGCAACACTGCTCAAATAAAATATCTACACCGTTTAACATGCAGTTTACACTACTTTTCTACACACCATAAATAGCGCCACCTATTTGACGAAGATATTTATTTTTAGTGGTATATTTTTGGTATATTTAAAATAAAACAAAAGGTATTTATTTCATAGACGGACGGTATTTTAATCTCCGGTCACACTGAGCTCCAGGCGCCAATTTCCCGGCATTTTCGCCATTTCCTGACATTATTTTTTATACAAACAATGAATTTCACCAGGAGCAATTGGTAGGTTCATTGCTCATAACATAGAACTCTGAAAACTAACCCTCGAGTCCCCACAGCTCGCCGTTGACCAAGAATCCGGTGGTGCAGCGCAGCCTGGACTTGCGATTAAGAGGCGCCCAGGCGAGATATTACCTCAAGTGGTGCTCCATAAATGTGGTGCTCCTTTCGGTGCTCCTCTTCGACATCTGCCAGGCATGTCCATCCGCCTTTCGGACGTACTGGTTTCTGGCGGAGTGCACCATTACCGCCTTGATAGCCCTGAGTGCAGTGGCCTGTTTTGGCAAGTATTTGTGGTTATGGTTTGGCGGCGACCAGGTGATAGGAACCGATACCCAGAAGTGCCTGCTGGACGGCAAGGAAGGTGAGGATAGCCCAGGAAATCCAACCTAAGCAGACCTTACCATCTAATCCCCGAATTTCCCTTAGACAACTCCTTTAGGACAGTCTGCGCCCGTGCTGTGACTAAACCACGCAGTTACGATCCCGACACCGATGTGGAGGACGACATACCCATCATCAACTGGCACTCCTCTTTCGAGGACTCCTGCTGGGGGTCGCAGTCCATGCGCCGCAGTCCCAGTCCCACAAGGACTCCCCAACAGACGAACCAGAACACCTCCTACAACTCCTCGATGGTGCATAACAACTCGCTAAATGCCAGCAACCTAAGCAACGAGTCCACGTACATGTCCCCCTATGCAGAGGTTCGCCGGGATGACTTCATCACCGATATCCGAAAGTTGCCCGCTCTGATGAAGCAGGCGGAACGCGAGCGCAGCATGGTCGACAGCTCTGAGGCTCCCAATGTCCAGAGCATGGGCTCGGCCAACTCTTTCTGGAACTACTGCAACAATGCGGCCTACATGCTGAAAACCACCATCTACCAGTTGTCGCCGGCTCCGGCTGTTTCCACGGAGAACGCTCCAACATCAATTGAGGAGTTTGGTGGCTTCCAGTTCAGGGACAGCAATTCGGAGGTCATCAAACGCATCTCCACTGACAAACTGTCGCAATACGTGGCCAACTTGAGATTTGTAAGCAATCTGCTCGAGCTTTTTTACAAAATACTACATTTTAAACCTTTTACAGTGGATTTCCACCACCATACTGCAGCGTTTGGTGAAGGAGATCAACCATGTGGACGATGTGTTCAGACAGCGTGGTCTGAGTGACCTAAAGATAGGGGCTGTGAGTCTGGAGAGGCTGCGCAAGACAGCAGAGAACCAGCAGTTCGTGCAGACCTGTGCTCCCATGTTGCCCATGCTCTTGCCCTTCCTGGACACCTTCAGCAACCAAGAGTACCTGGTTCAACGCATTAAGGAACTGGCACAGGGATCCTGCATAGCCGACTACCGCTGGAACTCAGGCAAGGCGCACAATGGTCAGGAGTGGGGCGAGCACTTGCCCACCGATGCAGCTGTAAGAAATGCCAGTTAGGAAGTTGCTTTCGTTTATCTTACGACTCGTAATTATTCCCCAGATATTGTTCCACTTGTTCTGTGTGTACTTGGATAGCCAACTGATGCCGTTGCCGCAGGGCGGCGGGCGACCCTTCCATTCCCGCTACGTGCTCATCCGCGACGAGAAGCGCTCCACCAAAGATGTGGTGAACGCCGTGCACAACAAGGCCCATTGCGCTATTTTGACCACCAGCAACCAGCTCAACCCCAAGTTCAACTTTATCAGCGACAAGGAGCTGCACAATTGCGTGTACGACAGGAACAACCTGTTCTACGTGATCATTCAGTTCCTGATCTACATGCGCCAGCAGCAGGAATCAGCGCTAGAGTGCGTCAATCTGGGCAAGAGCGGCATCAACATTATGTGCGTCATCGAAGACTGAGCTGGCCGCTAATCGGGATAACTGGCTATGACTACTACTCACCTCTAAACACTCGTTATTTCTAAGCATCTTTCCCTGACTCGACTATCGTTTGGTGCCATCAGGTATTCATCATCATTCGTTACTATTAAATTATGCATTTGTAATTATTAAGTTGACATACGACTGTTGTGGTTTCGCGGTTATCAGGTGTCATGCGGCCTGCGGTCTGTGCAATTAACTTGTTTGGAAGTCAGGCGGCAAGATAGACTCGTGGACGGGTGTGCACAGGTGCCCGGCTTTAATTGCCCTTTCATGATTCTCACTATTGCTCAGCCAGTTGGGTGACCTGGTCAATGGCCCGGCCTGCGACTCCCACATGCTCGCCACTTTACACTTCCGAAAGTGACAAAATTAATGGTTTCCGCCGACGCTGTCGACATTTTGTCGAGTGAGAGACATTGAGAAAATGCTCCAAAGTAGTGCGAAATGAAGGAGTCGCAAACACAGGCCCTCAAGGAAGTGCCGGCACTACCGGAGAGGAGCTGGTTGGCATGATGGGCCCTCTCGACCAGCCGCATTACCATTTCTCTTGGCCATGCTCATTTCAGGGCTCTAGCTTGACGTTGAATCGGTTGGCTGGTTATTTTAATGCTACCCCTGCTCCCTGATGGTCGGATGGCTGGCACCTCGGGTGAGTAATGTGCCTGGGTTGTCAACTTTACACTTTTATCCCTCGCATTATATTTGCTTTACCTACACAAACACCCAACCCCCAGCCACCCAACTTAACGCCCCTGTGTGTGTGGTGTGATATGTTTTCCTGATACTTTTTCTCAAGTTGTAAATTGGCTTAAAAATAATTTGTCAAAGCATTTCAGCGGGCGGAGATGCGATGCCTAAAATGGGAATTGGAGTTGGAACTTGGAACTTGGAGCAGCGCGGAGCCAAGATGCTTGTCTCGAGCCATTTTCTTATAACAATATTTGGACCCTCGGCTGATGGAGTGAAATTCCTTTAAAGAAACGCATGTGCGCGTCTTCATATCCAATTAGAAAAGTTTTCCTTCGACTGCTCCGTAATTGTGTTGATTAGTGCGGCTCGCTGGGTTGCTCCCGAGTGGGTGCTGCCTGGGATTCGGGTGGATTCTCCTCCTTATACCCCGCTGTTGACAAAAGAAGCCTTCTTGGCTGGCTGGGGGGAGGATTGTGTGTGTCCCCAGCTGTTGGCACTTTAAAAAGAAATGCGTATTAAATTCGATTGGCAATCGTCTCACACTCTGGTTCAATGGGCTTTTTCTTTACGGCTTACACAAATTTTCATCTAATATCGCTTTGAAGCAGCTTAACTATCCTTCAGATGAGGTCGTCTGGGGTGAGGAGAAGTCTGAGTGGGACACTTGTCAGCTGATGAAAGGGAAATTGACGGGATGTGTTGAAAATTCAATGACTATACTATTTAGTAAGTTTTTAACATTTTAAAGCTATAACGTATATAACAGCTTATAAGTATATTCTTTTTGTATGTAGAAATTATGATTAAAAGATTGTTCACAGCTTTTCCTAAGAATTACAATATCGTAAAGCTCTAAAAAGGGTAGTTTTTAGTTTTTACGGAAAATCCCAAATATATGCAAACAATATATTTCATATATTAAATATCTGTTAAATATATTTCTTTGCTTGTATGATTAAAATGGTTTTAAAGCCGACTTTGTTAACTTAAGCTTGCACGAATTCTTAAATAGTAAATTGTTTGAAAAATTAAAGTGTTCCATTTTTTAAATCCGTAAAACACGTATTGAAATGCATTTGTGATATAAAAGAATGTTGACAGCATTAAAGGAG